ATCGCATAAAAATAATCCGCATAAAAAGAGACCTTACAGTATTAATCTCCCAATACAAACCTCTTTTTGCAAAATTTTAGAAATTCTGTAACAAAAAACACAGGAGTTATTAAGCTTCAAAGTTGGTGAAGAAAATGGTGCCCTACACACATGCATATGTATACATACATACATACATACAAAAAAATATCCTTGACTGTTTTACATTTCTTGATTTTTCAAGGTCTTCCCAAGTCCAAAATCATAAAAGTCTCAGGGATCATTTTTTGACCAATTGACATACTTTTTCTTTGTTATGTATAAATAGCTGGGAAAGTAAAATATAAATTATTGATTTAAATTAATTTGGATTTAAAAAATACTTGTTTCATAAATTTTCTGTATTGAAATTTATGAAATATTGAATTTTGTTATTTTTAAATTGAAACTAGAATATTTTTGATCTTGTCTTCAAACTGAAAGAATTAGGTTACAGTCATTTCATTAATAATATAATATAATTATATTATGAAGTAATATTGTTGAGACTGTGCTGTGAAAGTATCAGTAAAAGAAATTCTTATTGATGATGATTATGATGATATGGCAAAACATATTTTTTGGATTCAGAAGTTGGATGATGATATGAATTTATAAGATTCTGTTTAAAATTTTCTTTTCAAGTTTTAAATGATTTTAATTAAAAATAATTAACATAATTCAATTTGATTTATTACTACAGTACATGACTTTCTGTGTGATGTTAGTAATGTTGGCATCTGCCACATTTCTGATTCTGACTACCGTCCAGAAGCTAGTATTGCTACTGACCTTCTCCTTAATATACTGTACCTTAATACTTTTGACACATGTTTATCTGTTTGACATGTATGATCATCTATTGATTCAAAAATTTGGGTAAGAAGCTTTTAATAAATAGCAATTCTCTACTTAGTTTCTAACTTTCAACAAATACATTTTTATGTAAAAGTCTTTTTTTTATATATTTTATTACATTATTCGAAAAATTTATTTGATAAACTACATTAACTTTTGATACCTTTTGAATTACTTAATAAAACTATTAAATGTAATGAAATAATTTATATATATTATCATTATTATGTTTGTTATTAATTACAGGAAATTTTATTTTTAAACATAAACTACTCTCAAGCATTGGCTATATTTTAGTAAATGTAAAAATAATCTAAAAAACTACTTAATAAAATATGTAAATATTGAAATAATTGTGGAAAATTACTTTGTTAAAATGATTATTAATGTAAAGGCTTATCCAAAATCAGTTAACCATGATTTATTTTAAAATTACTTTAAGAATGATTAAAACTACTATGAATCAGTTGCATGCTATTAATTTTGGTTTAGTCGCTTCCTAAGAAACAGCCAAATCATGGATAATAAAATTTAGCTGTTCTAAATTGTTTTTTAAACAATTCTTTAAAAAATATTTTGATTAGATGATTAGACCTCCTCCTATAATATTAATGTTTACTTTATAAAATACATATATTGGAGCTTTACTATGTTATTTTATATTAGATTCTTTTCATTAATTATAGTTAATTTTTGTTATTATTATTAACTTTTACAAAAATTANATCCATAGTGTTACCACCTGTCCAGTTTTCACCCAGACAGTCCAGGAATTGACTCACTGTCCAGATGAACTATTAATTTTGTCCTGGAATTTCGTAGAAATTGTGAAATTACGATGAAACAAAGTTCTTGCAAATATTTTTACAAATTTACATTATTTTAACAGCGAAAGAACTCACACTCACTGAAACTCGTCTGCAATTCTGCCATGTTAGTCTGTTTATTCTGATGTGTGGCGCGCAACCTGTCAACCGTTCTTTTTGAATGTGTCTCCAATAGAGTTAAGTTATCTGTACCTGTTCTTTCTTAATTTATGTTACTTACGTTGCTCCTACGCAAGTCCCTAGTCCCTAACTGTAACTGTAACTTAGAAATAGTGGCTGGTTTCTAAAGGCAATTATCATGCTACTTTTAAATGCAATTTAAGACTTAATGTTAATTGCTTTTTGTATGTAAATGAAAATTATTAATTTAAATAACTATTGTTGTAACCTACTGTTATTTTAAGGAATAACAATGCTGTTCTATTTAATTCACAAAAAATACAGACAAAAAGAATAAATGGCAAGTAATATGGTGATAGAATGTTTACAAACAACTTTAAATCATATAATTTTTTTTGTGGAAATTTAATTATAGGTTCAAGTATGCTGAGATGGTAGATTGAAAAATACTGATCTAGATGCACACATTTATGCTATATTTTCTGTTGTTCACTGCAGCTTTCCAAAACTATTTTCTCCTTTTTCTGCTATGTAGAGAGAGTTCCTAAGGAATGGTAAATTTATTTGCAATTTCTGATTTTTCTGTATCAACAAAATCTAGTTTTCTCTTGTTTGCCATTTCTATCTACTTTGAAACGAAAATGGTCAATATGCCAATTAATTAATCACTGTCAGCAATTAAAATGTCAACATGTGATTCAAAGTTGATGCAAAATTTACATAGTATGAATGTTTAGTTCCAAATAGGGAGATACATATAGACAATTCATAAATTTGATTGGCCAATAATTCAGTAAGAAGTCAAATCACAGATGTGCTTGTTATCAATATATTTTTAAATTTTTTAAATCTAAAAATAATGATTTTAAAGTGCTAGGAGTGCTAGGATGCAATCTGACTTGATTAGTCAGATTGCATTTAAGAATAAGATTGTTACTTTAAGTGCAAAATGCTAAAATTTTGAATTTTATGTTGTGCATAATTCCATACAATACCAATCTTCAGCATTCTGTTATCATCATCCATTTTTGTAAAAATGATGATATAAAGTCTCTGGATCAGATTTTGAATTAGTGAAACATGATCTCAAAATAACTCTAACTTACAGAAACACACTGTATCAAGTATATAGGAGTTAAGTCTGGACAAAAAATTTCAAGTTAAAGGAGTTTGAAGACTTATTAGGAGTCAATCTGTATTTGAATTTTCTAAGGAATGATACTATCCAAGTTTTGTTTATTTACTCATTACTAACAAGGGGACAGCATGATGTTCAGGTCACCAGTTTTGATCAAACTCTGTGAGATTATAGTGCATCCCCAACGATTGATATGTGCCAAGCAATAAGGCACGATACTCAAAAGTAAGCAAGAAAATTCAGATCAAAAAATGCAAATCACTTCTAAGTTTTAGAATTTCCTTTATTTGCAGTGTGGCTGGTGGCTTGATGAGGATGTGCTGTTTTGTAATCATAAGGTTGGTGTTTTGAATCTTGATGTATTCAATGTTTTTTTTTTTCCATAAAACTATAATTTTCAGTTTATTCTTGGTATTTTGTAATTTATTATAGTCAGAGAGAAAAATTGATTTATTTTTAGAAAACTACAAATACACAATAATAAGGGTAATAAAACAATAAAATTTGTCTGTTTCAAATGACAAGTCAATGTCAAAAGCAATTAACAAATGCTACCTAACAATATTTCTTTAAAAACAAAGCATTTTCTATACATTCTGTACAGTTCATACTTAATCTGGCAACAAAGTCATTGTTTAACCTAAATGTGTGTATAATTGCATCTTTGTTTGTTAAAGAACAAAAAGATGGTTTCGATATCTCATATCTCATGCCAACATCAATAGCATAGAAATGTTTTCTGCGATAGAATTACTGCATGACAATATTACAAATTTACATATTGTGAAAGCATTCTTCCAAATCAAGACCTAATTGCAGCTGAGAGTTCTTCATCAATTTCAGAAGTTGTGAAGGTGGTAGAAGTGATTCTTCTCCAAATTAGTTGATAATGGAGAAGTTTTTTAAACACTAATCTGGTTTGTTTTTCCAGTGACATACAGTATGTAAATCTTCTTATTGTAAAAATTTGCATTTATTCAATTTGCACACTGCAGAAATGTTTATTGCTTCACATGCTTCTACGACAATTATCATCCATAAAATTGTGCTCCTGGAAAGCAGATTGAATAATGTTAATAAAAATGTCTTCTTTTATTAACAAAATACAAAAAATTGACTTTTAATATTGATAATTTTGTTTATATCTAGTCCTGTTTCCAAATAAATTATAAATAAATGTTAGTATGAATCCCATATGTACTGTACATGAATATTTGAAAATAATTTTTAAATAAATATAATAAATTTAAAAATACCAGGATGAAGTGAAAATTATAGTTTTAGGAAAAAAGATAACACTGATACCACCAAAATCAAAATACCAACCTCATGATTACAAAACTGGTGTGCCCCCATCAAGTCACTGGCCACTATGCAAATGATGGACATTCTAATAGTTTTAAGTGATTTGTAATTTTTGATCTGAATTTTCTTGTTTAGAGTATTGCACTTACTGCTTGGCACATGTCAGTCATTGGGAATGTACTATAATCTCACCAAATTTGATCATAATCAGTGACTTGAACATCATGCCCCTCGTAAGCAAACATATTGGCTAGCTGCTAATATAATTAGGTTATTGATTTTAAATTTTGCCATTTGTTATGACTTGTTTTATTAATATTTTAAGTTGTTTAAAAAATTTTTTGATAATTATTTATGATCTTATAATTTTATGCATATCAGATTTTGCTGTAGCTGATATTTTTTTACTTATGACTTTAATTTTCATATTAACTACAGATATTGGCTACAGCTGGTACTGCAGTTAGGAGGAGGACTTGCTATTTTAGGAATTATACTATTTGTGGAAAGTCCACAGACAGAAGTAAATATTTTTGGTTTAATTTGAATTTTAAATTGAAATTTGTTTTTTATTAGATTTGAATATGTATAATAATAATAATAATAATAATAATAATTGAAAACAGAAATGACAAATAAGGAAAAAAATCTGTTGCAGAAAATTATTAAAACTTTTTGTATTCATATTTTTTATTAATGTGTTTAATTTTTGTATATTTTTTCTTTAAAGACACCAAATTCTTTCATTCCATCGAAATGTATAAATTTATCAAAAACTATTGTTGATAACAGAAGATACAACCAGTTATTATCAATTTTTGTTTTACTAGTCATCTATATTTGCTGTATTACACCTATGGTAAGAAAATGGTTTTTTTAAATTTTTCTTTTACTCTTAAAAACACAGCCAGGCTTGTAACATTAAAATTTCTACAAATTTTGTACTTTTAAATTGGTATTAGTTATATGCATTTCACATTTATTAATCTTTCCTAAAAATATTAATGTTGTAAACCCAAGATTTGAGTGTGATTATACTTTGGCAAATAAAAGAGATGTTCTAGTTTTTAGATAATATAGAATAAATATTTATTTGATTGGGCTTTTACAATTTGAAAAAATTGTAGACATATAAATTCCCATTGTTGTTCGTCCATTGTCTGTCCTTCCTTAATCTCAAAAATGTTGTTAAATAGATGAAAGTCAAGACCAGATTTGGAAAGCTTAGGGTAGGAAGCCTTGATTAACTATATATGAACATCATGTCTAAACCATAAGTTATGTGAATTCAATTCAAAAATTTTTTCCTGAAAGGAGTTAGATTAATAACTGTCACAACTCTATTGCTAGCAGGAAAAGTATGATGTACAGGGGAAAGACACTACTAATTTGAGGTGAAGAACATATATTTTAAATTGAATAGATTAAGAATATGATTAAAAATTGCAGCTCAGCATTGTACAATGTCACAATAAATAATTGCTCATTTTAAGTTTAGACTTTATTATTAAAGTTACAAAGTATAGAACTGCTAATATTTTTACCCCTTTTTAAATGAATAACGTATTCATTAAAAAGAAAAAAATATGATAGTATGATTTAAAATTTTTTTAAATGTAATAAAAGTTATAAAATAAATTCATTAAATTAGATTTTTTTCAAGTTCACAAATCTTATTTAAGAAATAAAATGATTATTTTATTATTGAAACAAATTTTTTGAAGTTTCTTTTTACCCTATGGGCATGAAGGAATTATTTTTATTTTATCCATTATGGGTTTGGCTAGGCCCAAAATGTGCAACACTGAGTGGTGAGGTATGTGGCTTGACATATCCAGGTTAGTTGTTTCATGAAAAATTCCTGGGGCCATTTATCTGGATTTAATTCTGAATCTCTTGGAGTGGTAGGTGAATCTTTAGCCATTTCAGCCATTTGGCCATCCATTTTCAATAATTATTTTATATCAGCCATTAATATTCTAAATTTAAAATACTGAAACAATTTATTTATTAAAATGAGAAGTGATTAGGTTTTAATTGTAACATGAAGAATTTAGAAAACTTGGTTTGAATAATTAACAAATGTTTAAAAAAAAATTATGTGAATAAGTTTAATTTTTAACAGTCATTTAAATCAATCATGATTGAAATAAAAATTTATTTTAAAATGTTGTTATATGATTAAAAAATTATTATTGTTGTCTGTAGGATATCACATAATTTCATTTAAAATATTTTATTTAGTCGCTAAATCAAATGCTTATATTATAATGATTCTCTATTTTAAAATGTGTTCTCTTATATTTCATTCTGTTTATAAGTAAATAAGTATTTCTTTCATCAAAAAATAAAGAATTCTCTTTTATGGATTTATAAATTATTTTATATTACAATTCAATATGTAATATTTTTGTTTAATGAGTTACTCTTAATTATTAATTGGATAAAAACTAATTTTATGATTCTTTTAGTTTCTGTTAGATATAACCCATTCTACTGGCTGCTGGCAGCTACACTTAAATTTTTCCAAATTAGTTACATCTATAGAAAATGGTACATTAAAATGTGAAGATTTTCTCCTGAATGGATTTACAGATGTAAGAACTTTTTCAATTATTAAAGAAATTATTAACATTTATTTTTAAGAATATTTTATGAATTATTAAATAAAAAAAGTGAAATCCCATTTAATGTGTATCTATAACACAAATTTGTATGATGTGACAAAAAAATTGCAACTTGTATGCCTAAATAATTTTAATTTTGTCTTCCAACATTATGCATTTTCTTCAACTTCTAGGTCTAGGTTTAAATTTGAATAAAATCATCTAATAATGCATGTCTTGATAACACAATTTTCTAAAATGTGGAACGTACCCTCTCATATTATATGGGACTCCACTGTATTCTGTTTTATTTATTTTATATTAAGACTAATAGCATGTGATTTTTTAAAAATATATTTTAATTGTATTATAAGTAGCTTCCGAATTTAAGATAATCTAATTCAGATAAAATTCAGATAGGGTAGTTAAATGCATTTTTCAAAATGCTGTTGCTATGATATTATAATCACTTATTAGTGTTGTTATTACATTGCACTAATAAAGTTTCATTTTATGCCAATGCCTCCTGCTTTGTGTATAAGGAGGAGGTATAGAAGTTAAATTAAGCAAGAGATCTAAACCATCAAAGAATTTAGAATGTATACTACAAAATAAAACTATTGACAAATTCACTAAAGTTATTCCTCTAAAGTTAAAAAAAAACAGTAAATTACTAATTAAAATTAACAGACCAGAGTTTAAAGTATTTTAAGTTTACATTGCCATTAAAAATATTTATTTAACTAACTAGTTAAATAGTTTGATAAAAATTTAATTCATTACAATAATAATAAAACACTTCATATTTTAAAATCTCTTTCTTTTTCATTAATATTTTAGTCTACTAATAACAATGAAACAAGGCTAATTTTCAAGTATTTTAAACAGACTTATGAATGTATAATGTAAATTCAGAAATTTAGTTTATTCCATCATTAAAATTTTTAAAATAATGTCATATTACATATATATGTAAACAACTGAAGAGGAATGTATAAATTTGAAATGCCTTTTTCAATCATATCAGAACTTTACATGAATTAAAATAAAATTTCTCAAATATGAACCAATATGAAATAGCTACCCATATTTCTTGAATATGGGTAATTTCTGGATATCTAATTAAATTGAAGTTTGGTATAAAAACAATAAAATTTTAATTAAAAACTTGAACATTGGCTAGCTGCTAATATAATTAGGTTATTGATTTTAAATTTTGCCATTTGTTATGACTTGTTTTATTAATATTTTAAGTTGTATAAAAAATTTTTTGATA